ACCATGGTCGATGGTATCAAAAGCTGCTGAGAGGTCTAATAGGACCAGGACAGAGGAACAGCCCCTTTTCCGAGCCCTCCAGAGATCATCAACCAATGCAACCAATGCCATTTCCATGCTGTACCCCGGCCTGAAGCCCGACTGTAACAGATCTAGATAGACAGCTTCATCCATGTACTGGGGAAGTTGTCGCGCCACCACACTCTCAACAACCTTTGCAACAAAGCAAAGGTTGGAGACTGGACAATAGTTCGCTAATACAGCTGGGTCCAGGGAGGGCTTCTTGAGGAGGGGCTTCACCACTGCCTCTTTCAGAGAGGGAGGGAAGAAACACTCACTCAAAGAAGCATTAATAATCCCCTGGAGCCAGCCTCATTTAACCGCCCGGGAGGCCAGCACCAACCAGGAGAGACACGGGTCCAATAAACATGTGGCTGCGTTCAGCCTATCCAGAATCCTGTCCATGTCCTCGGGAGTCACAAGGTCAAACCCCTCCCAGATAACATTCACAAGACTCACCTCCGTCACCCCATCTGGATCTACCCAATCTGAGTTCAGGCCTTCCCGAATCTGAGTGACTTTGTCATGCAGGAATTGCACAAAATCCTCAGCCCTGCCCTGGAAGGGGTCTTCCCTCGCTCCCAGATGAAGGAGGAAGCGGGTCACCCTAAACAGGGCTGCTGGGCAGTTTTCTGCAGACCTGATAAGAGCGGAAAAATAGTTAGATTTAACTATTTAAAAGATCACCAAGTGCCGTTGTCATTGCAGAAAGAGAAGTATGGATTGTCATGAATAGGCAGTGTTCCATGATACTGGTGCAAGATGTCTCATGGAAAAAAAGGAAAAAGAAGACATATATTGTTAATGGTAATTATCAAAACACAACATAGACACACAGTTCTGCCAATAGAAATAAGATAATGAATGTAAAGAAAATCATATATGTGCACTGTAAATTTTTTTTGATGTACTTGGGCACATCTGCTTGAATTTTTCTTTCTTAAAAATGAATGAATATTGTTTCAGATTAGCTCTAGTGCCCCATCTGCAGATGAGTAGTAATATTACTTACAAAGATGCTGAAGGTTTTTTCTTTTTAATAACAAACTTTTTTGTGTGCTTGGACCTATCTGTTCCCCAACATTCAGTATTCGTTTATGCAAGCTGAGCTTTCCAATTGTGTCATTTTGTCATTTTTATCTTTGGATGGCACTTCCACTTCATATTTCATTTTTTAATTTGATTCATTCACATTTCTAAAAAATATTAATTATACTCCATCAACTAACAAACATCATTGGCTAAAAAAGTGCAGCAAGTAAAAAAAAGTCAATAGGGCTTTTTTTTAAATGGAAAACTATAACAATTCCTCCTTCCTCCTTAACTGTATGATCAATACAAAATGTTATTGTAAAAGTCTTTTTTCATTTTTAACCATCGATATAGATTATATAAAGACATTATAAAGAAATAGAGAGTTGATAAAAGTTTTCAAAGGAAAGTGAAATATTCTGTATTATTAAATAAAAAGAAATTATGAGCCATTTTGCTGTACTAGTTAAGGCATCAGACTAGAAACCAGGAGACTGTGAATTCTAGTCCCACCTTAGACATGAAAGCGAGATGGGTGACCTTGGCCCAGTCACACACACTCTCAATCCATCTCACCTCACAGGGTTATTGTGGGGAAAAGAGGAGGAGGAAGGCGTATTAAGTATGTTTGCTGCCTTGAGTTATTTATAAAAACAACAAAGGTGAGGTAATTAAAAAAAACAGGAAAACTCCAAACTCATTAAATTAGCATTAAATGGTAAATATATTTCAGGATAAGCAAGCAGAAAATTATTTATATTGAGGCCAATATATCCTAACTTCAGAGGGCTAAATTTCTGATGACTAACTAAAAAAGAATTATGATAGTTCTAGTATTTATTTTACTTAAAGTTCAAATAGCTATTCTGCAGTTTTGGGTAGAATCAAAGGCAAATTCCATCATGCCTTTGAATCAGTCTTGAATCCTTCCTGGCAACTATATGGACAAGTTCATGCAACTTTCTTAGCAACAGTTTTGGAACTGGTCTGCCTTTTTCCTGGAATGACAAGAGAACTACTGTCCCAAAGTCACCTGGCTGGTTTGTGCCTAAGGCAAGGTTAGAACTGTTTCCTGGTTTCTAGCTCAGAACCTTTAACTACTAAATGAAACTGGCTCTATGTTGGGATTGTATTTGGAATGCATTGTACCTTTTGGTTGCCTCATTTTAAAAAACAATATTGTAGAATTGAAAAAGAGTACAGAAAATATTATTTTACGTCTAAAGCAATGAGGCAAACTCACAAGATTTTCGAGGTTTTAGGGATTCAAGCTGCACATTCTGGGCTGCAAAAATTCACATGACCATCAAAAGGAGGCAAAGATTTGTTTGTATCACTTTTCTGTCATTTACCGGTAGTGGTAGTCTGGATTTTTGTAGCACAAATTGCATTAAGGTTGCGGGTGTGTATGTGTTTCACACTAAAAAAGGCTTGTAAGAACTATGATGGTTGATGTATTGTGATCATCCCAAGAAACAGAACCACAATAGATTCAGGACAAAGTTTTTTTCACGGAACACTATGTTGTGGATTCTTAAAATTATGATATAACAGCCCTGTTTTCATACTGTATTTATTCATGGTTGGATTCACACAACCTAGCTAAAATGTGGCTGTCTACTTTGCAGTCCTGGATGAGATATAGTCTCAGTGGTGGCTACCATCTTTGATGGCTTTATAAAGGAATAAAATCAGATCCATTCAATTCCAGATGAAGGAAAAGATTGTATCCCTTTCTATTCCTTGTATAGCAATTGATCATACTGAATGCTGAATGTTATTTCTGTATTGGAGAGGAACAGTATTCTCCACTATATCTGAATAAAATAAATCAGAATTTAAAAACCGTGCAAAAATTACAATATGTGTCCATCAAACTAGCATTCATACAGAAAGGTTTACATGTAGTCCTTGACAGTTCATTTAGTGACCGTTCAAAGTTATAAAGGCACTGAAAAATGTAACATGACAGTTTTTCCCACTTATGATTGCTGTAGCATCCCCACGTTCACATGATCAAAATTCAGATGCTTGACAACTGATTCATATTTATGATGGCTGTAATGTCTCAGGGTCATGTGATCCCCTTTTGCAGCCTTCTGACAAGCAAAGTCAATGGAGAAGCCAGATTCACTTAACAACTGTGTTACTAACTTAACAACCACAGTGATTCACTAACAACTGTGGCAAGAAAAGTCATAAAATGGAACAAAATTCACTTAACAAATGTCTCAGTTAGAAACATAAATTTTGGGCTCAATTGTGGTCATAAGCCAAGAACTACCTGTATTTCATTCTCTTTCTTTCTGTTTAAAAAAAGATCACTTTCTAGAAGGTTTTTCTGAACAGGTCAGCCTAATGGTGACTGAAGCAGAAAAAAGTTCCAAACTGATTAATTAAACTTGCCTTGCTATTTTATAGATATAAGTGACATAAATGAACAAATTATGAAGAAGTTGAAACATTCTACAATTGAATGAATAGCTCCTGTATGCATAAAAATGCTTTTGTAGCTCTGTATATTAAGCTAAATAAATAAATAGAATAGGATTTGTGTGTGGCATTTATTGAAAGTACATTTGTAACTTCTTCCCTATGCATTTTCGTATCCATCAGTTCTACATTTTGGTCAACAAAGGTAATTGAGTTTTCAAACAGAAAAATTTGACAAAGTATCCCCAAGGAAGAAGCATTGATCTGGAGGACTGAGATTAACCTTTAATTCCAAGTATTATTACCACTAGCTATGCTTCTGTATGGTAAATTGAGCTATAGTTATATAATTAGATTTTTAAGATATACACAAAAACTACACCTGCTGGGTTTGCACCACTTGTTAGGCTAAAATGTGGTACGGGGGGAGTTCTAAGTTGACACATCTTAAAGTTGCCGACATTAGCCTAGATTGTGTGAAGACAGCTAGTTTGGTGTAGACACCAGGCTAGAAAACAGATGGTATTTTCTAGTTCCACATAAGGCACAAAACCAGCTGGGTTACCTTGGGCCAATTGCTCTGTCTCAGCCCTAGCCAGCAGCAATGGCAAACCACTCTGAAATCTTGCCAAGAAAACAAGTCCCTTGCAGGGACTTGTCTAGGGAGTTGACAAGAATCAACAGTGACTTGATGGCACAATAGATAGAGCAATAGAGCATGCCCAATGTACCTCTTCTCATATAAGACTCTAGAGTTCCTTTTTGCTCCTAGAGGGACCCTGACCTTTATCTTCTCAGTCTTCTGTGCCTTTTAGATGTGACTTTATGCCCGTGTTCATTCTTTCTTGCACATAAGAAAGTTCTTATTTATTACTTATCTGTTTGTTTCCCTTTTCTCTAAGTCTCTAGTTCTCCAATTTTGTTCTTAAAATGTCCTTAAAATATAGCTACCTTATGAAGTAGCTGTGAGGTAGAATAAAAATAATAGACTGATTCAGTGAATTATTTGAATGCAAATTGGAATCTGAAACTTCCAAGTCACAAGTTAACATTATAATCAATATACATTTTTCTCAAATTCATCATCTTCCAGATGTATGGACTTCAGTCTTAAACTTTATTTTAAACTAGAATTTTTACTTCTTACTGTGGAGAATAAAAATGACTCAAAAAGCAAACTGGTGATCTGGAAAACAAGCTTAGATTAAGAAATGTTGTGTCAATAGGCAAAAGAAAAGGACAGAGGAAAATACAAAGATACTCTTGTCACACTGAATTATGACAAACAGGGAGGATAGATGAAAACTTTTAGCTCTCTCTTTGTGATGGGTATAAATCTGTGAGAAGGACATCAGACAACCAAAATATAAAGATTCTCTGTTAGCTTTTATCCCACATAAATTCTATTGACATTTATTTATCACATTTTTGAATCACTTATCACCCTCAGTGTACAATAAAATGTTAAAACATAAAAATTAAAAATTCTCATTTTAATTTTTTTTTAAAAAAAATAAAATTTAGAATTTAAAAGTAGGCAAAGATGAGATATCCCTGTTAAAAATTAGTTAAAAAGATGACGGGTACCAACCAGCCTCATGTGACATTATACAGCGATGTTTTAATTCTTTTTCAGAAGGCCAGGAGAGTGCAAACATGCCTTACTTCTTGGGAATAGTGGGGGGAGAGAATATTCTACAGGGTCAGGGTGATGGCAGAGAAAGCTCTATTCCTAGACCCGGCCAGTCAATTCTTTTAACTGATGGAGTCTGCAATATAACTTCCTTGCTTGATTGAGTAGGATGAGTTGATGTAATGGGTCGAAGACAGTTCCGTAGCTTGACCCCATGCCACGTAGGGCTTTATAGGTAACAACCAACACCTTGAATTGGATCCAGAACAAACCAGTACCCAACACAATTTGCAGAGCACAGGTGGTTTCATGCGCCCTTTTTTGGGTTCCCAGAATTGCTTGCATGGCCACATTCTGCACCAGCTGAAGCTTCCAGATACTTTTCAAGGGTAAATTCATGTCCCCCTCAGTCAGTCCAAAAGGATACCATGGTCAATGGTAATGAAAGCTGCTGAGAAATCAAGAACAGAAAGGATGTATTCATTACCTTCATCCCATTCCTGCCAAAGATCATCTATGAGTGCTACCAATGCTATTTTAGTTCCATATCCTGTCTGATTTGCAAATAGAAACAGAACAATTGTGACAAAAGAAAGCAAAGATAGTACCAATAGTAACAGGCACCTTGGAAGCAATCTGAAAACAACTGGAACATCCTTGAACACCATTAGCATTGACAAAATCATCACTGGTCAATTGTAAACGGCAGCTTTACTTGGAACAGCTTGAGGATGATGATCGTCCATCGTTTTCTAAGAGGACCTTGACATCTAACGGGTTGTGGGCGGTCTACAGTGTGTACGCAGGTAAGTCCTATATGGGCACGGAATGTTCTGCCACATGTCAGGCAGAACACTCCGTGCCCATATAGGACTTACCAGCCACCTGCGTACACACTGTGCACTATTGCAGCATTTGCAACTCTGGCTTTGTGGAATGCACACTTCTCTTGTGCTATGGTTGTCCTTCTGTCTTCAAATGTCCGGCAGCCTTGGTGGATCAATATGCGTCATGTAGATCGATCTTGTGCCAGGGTTTCCCAGGAGGTGGTGTCGATATCCAGGGACTTGAGAGAGGCTTTCAGCCTTTCCCTTTGTCTTTGTATCGCTTCCTTTGTCCCCCGTGTGATCGCTTTCCTTGAGACAGCTCACCATAGAAGAGCTGTTTGGGGATGTGGTGGTCTGGCATCCTTGCAACATGGCCTGCCCTGTCTGGGCTTTAATCAGCAGGGTGTGAACTGATGGCAGGCTTGCTCTGGAGAGGACTTCTGTGTCTGGCACCTTGTCCTGCCACCAGATCCTCACAAATCTGTGGAGGCAGATCATGTGGAAGTGGTTCAATTGCCTAGCGTGCCTCCTGTATACAGTGCAAGTCTCACTGGCATACATCAGGGTAGTTAGCACTACTGCTTGGTAGACTTTGAGCTTTGTAGCAAAGCTTATTCCATGTGGTCCCACATGTTAAGTCAGTAGTCTGCCAAATGCAGAGTTTGCCTTGGTGATTCTGCAGTTGACCTCAATGTCAATTGTCACTGCATGGGAGAGGATGCTGCCAAGGTATGTAAATTGGTCCACTGCTTGCAGCTTTTGTCCTTTCACTGGGATGATGTATGTTAAATGTGGATCGAATGAAGAGGCAGGACTCACATATCAGGCAAACAGCTCTTTTATTGAAGGATGGCACAGGAACGAAGAAGTGCTGAGCTGTCCGGCAGCTCCCTCTTTTAAAGGGAGCTGCCTGACAGCTCAGCCACTGAGATCCCTCAAATTTCCCTCCTAAAGTATTTGAGCCAATCAATTTAAACCTCCAGTTCTCCTGCCTGTCAGGCGGACCAGAGGAAAACCTTTGCTCAATATTTCCCTCCTCATTGCCATATTCAACAATGTACTCTTGGTGTTGGGCATTCAGAGCTGGCTGGCGCATCACTTCGGTCTTCTTTGTGTTGATGAGGAGGCTGAAGTTGTCGAATGCTGCTGTGAATTTGTCCACGCTGTCTTGCATTTCCTGCTCTGATCCAGCATTCAGGGCATAGTCGTCAGTAAAAAGGAGGTCTCATAGCACAGTCTTCTTTATCTTGGTGACAGCCTGGAGTCTTCGCATGTTGAACAGTTTCCCACCGGTCCTATATCTCAGGCTGACTCCCAAGGAACTGTTCTGAAGGCATCTGACAGAAAAAGAACTGGAGAAAATCACAAATACAAAGATCTGTAAATAGAAGCAGAACAATTGTGACAAAAGAAAGCAAAAATAGTAGCAATAGTAACAGGCACCTTGGAAGCAATCCCAAAACAACTGGAGCATCCCTTGAACACCATTAGCATTGACAAAATCATCACTGGTCAATTGTAAATGGCAGCTTTACTTGGAACAGCTTACATCCTTTGATGATACCTTTAACACCATCAAACATCACCTGCCTATTCCTGGTCTTTGGGAAGGACTTGATAACGGATAAAAATGCCAAATCCAGTCTAAACATTTGACTGACTGAGTGACCGATCAACCATAATAATAGTAGTTGCTACCCTATGTTCTCAATAGAATAATAAATGCATGAGTGAATGAACCTATGGACCACTGAATGAATGAGAAAGATCTGAAAAACTACAAAACCTCAAGCAGCCTGAACATGTTTTAGGCACAGAATACTGTGATGAAAGGATCCAGAAAGGAGTGCAAGGAAGACAGAATACAGTAATATTGATAGAATGCAACATAGTTTTACTGCATTGGCACATTTTCTTGTAGGCCGTATGATGGATATGCCTATGCTAGTAAGGAAGAATATTCCAACCACACTTGCCTACAACCCGATTGTTCTTTTCTCATATTTATACATGTGAAGATAGGCTGCTCAGTGCATGTTTGATTTTGAGATGCAGCCATTAAATTTCCATCTGTAGATTAAATACTTTTTGGTTATATGATGGGCCATTCAGAAGTGTAATGTGTCATTATGTGTTTCAGTCATTAAAAGCACGCACAGCATATTTTAGCCCTTAGCACAATCTAGCCCTTAGCACATGGCTTAATATAAATCATTGCATGGAATGATTGAGAGAGACCCTATATGGAACATATCACTCCACTTTTATGCAGTGGCTCCTACTGAACATAAGTTACAAAATGCTGTTTAGGTATGAGTTGTATGAATAACTATGATAAGACATAGTAAAATATAATACAAAAGAGCTGTGTGCATACTTTGCTCTGAGGGCTTTTAAAGAGTTAAAAGTCCAGGACTAAAAGGAGCCCTAGAAATTTTATGACCTCAGAGCAAGTTGAAATCCTAAGTAGTAGAACAGGTTTTGCTAATACATTCAACCCTAAAGGCTATGCTGCTCTCTGCCATGCAATTGTTAACTTTCTGGCAATGTTTCACCTGACCTTCTAACACTGATAGAAATCAAAGGCTCGGGTTCTTTTGTTAAACAAGAAATTACTCTTTTGCATTTCTAAGTGTTTATTTCTGAACAGACCAAATGTATTTTAAATTTGAAGTGGATATATATTAGAATCCACAGAGACAGTATCCTGTGGATGAAATATGAGAGTTATTTACTGATAAAGAGTTGAGAGGCAACAGCTGCATAAAACCAAATCTGAATGGAACTGTATTTTACACCTAAACATTTCTTGGAAGAAAGTATGATTTTCAATCCAGGAGGAGGAGGAGACTATTGTTTTTAAACAATTTTTCCCCATTATTTCTGAAGTAAAGAGAATTGTGATTTATATAAAGCTACTCAGTTCAACAGTCTCTGACTTCAAATCCTGCTCTGTTGGCAAGACTTGAACATCCACAAACACAGCAGGGAACTCTGCTTTTCTGGAAAGTTCACCCCCTCTTTCTTTAAGGCAGGACAGAAGGATCATTTTGCAGCTATGAGCTGCATGATTTTTGTCCTTGAACAGGAAGATTCTTCTGGCTGCTGAGGACCACAAGTGGGCTTGGCAGGCTGGAGGGAGCAGGACTTCTCAGGAGAAAGCAGGATGAAATCCTTCAGTCCATTTTGGGCGTGTATGTATTTTGGAGTTCAGAAGGGAAGTTTGGGACAAAATGATTATGTTAAACCTAGCGGGGCTTAATAAATATATTATTTTAGTCATATAAAATGTTGCTCTTTCCAATAGGTGGCGTGGTCCTAAGGGCTCCAAGAGCAACAGAAATGAGGCAGGAGACTGTATGGAATCACTAGGTCTAAGTTACTCACCTCTACTCTAGTGTATGGCAGATGAGAAGAAGTATAGAAAACCAAGACTCTTCCAGAAATCTGGTTATGTTGATAATTTCAACCATGATTTGTCATTCCTCTGAAATGGCTTTCTCAGGTATCATATGGAAATCTCCAAAGCTATTTTGTTCCAAGAGGCAAGTACAAAAAAAAAAAAAAGCTGGATAGTAACAACAAAAAGGAATACAAATAAATATAGCAGTAGCAAAGAAAAAGAAAAGATTAAACGTATTGTCCTTTTCTTTATTAAAGTCAAGATTTGTACTCTGTTCTTTCTGGTAGAGTTGTATGTATGGCTCTGGGATAATCATAGAACTTCCAAACAACTGCCTATTCTATCCCATTAATTCCATCTGTTAATACACTACAAAACAGATACGTTTGACCATTGTCTTTCACAATCGTTAATAGTATAGAATGGTCACAGACATGCTCTTAAGCACAGGGAATAATTGCATTATTTAACCATTCTTTGGGTCTGTACTCAAAACTCTACAACTCTTTAATCAGTGTGTGCATAGTTCAAATCTAAGCTAGATATTAGAACAGCATGAGCAAACTTAGTTTGCACTAGTTTCTATAAGGGAAGCAATGGTAGAAAGGAGGGGGAATTAATTCTCATTTCTTTCTATGCGTCTGGCTTTGAAATGAGCCTTCTCCACACATGGTTATTCTCCTCTTATGTAAACAACCACCCCAGCAAGGAGCAAGGCAGTATTAGCTGATTGGGTCAGGTGATCTCTGCTGCTCAACTATGTTACCTATGATTTCATCAAGGAGAGAGGTTTCATGCAGGTTTGCTTATTCTCCTTTCTAGTTTGCCTCCTCCTACCACTCTTCTGGATATTTGAATATTGATGCTGCATGTAGATGCTTATGTGGCTCAGCTTTATATTTAGCTCAGAATTGAGGGTGTTATAGTGGCAGTCCAAAGAGTTTATGTGTCCCAAGACATTAAAAACAGAATTATTTGCAAAAGAGCAGATTTAAAAGTAGCAATTTCAAATAATCCCAAATTCCACCAATGTTTAAGTTTCCCAGTTTTATCACATTCCTCAGCCTGAGGTGTTTCTTTTGCTAAACTTCTTGATATGGTAGTTAATGCAGCAGGAGAAAGCCTCTCTATGAGATAAGCATCTCTTTAAGTTGATTTGATTGTGTAAGGGGGAAGGGTTTAAGGAAATGTATTTTGATTAAGCAACTGAGCAAAGGCTTCAGCCCTGGAAGTTTCATGTCCCAAGTTCCTCAAATCACAAGTTTTAGGAAATGCAACTTTGAATTTTGACTTGGATGATGTCCCAGCCATGTGATAGCAGTTTCCCAAATGTTTAACCAGTTCTATTTGTTTACAGATATACACCCATAAAATCTATTTGCCCATGCAGGGTAAATCCTGATGAGATCACAATCCTAGCTTTAAATACAGAGATGTGTATGTTTTATTAGACATCCTGGCCAAAATAAGGGATTAGTACTTTGAAACAATAGAAATTGCTATTATTTCAAGGATTTTGCAGTTACATTTTGACTATATCTTACAAAAATAATTTCCTTTATAGCCTGGACAATTAAAAGATGTACTGATAAAGCAGTATGTTCCAGTTGTTATAGAAGTGGTTGGAAATTTAAAAGATGTTATATTTGAAATAATATTCCATACAAAACTAAAGAGAGTTGATTATTAACTATAATATAATGTGGAATAAAGAATCAGTATATTAATTTTTCAAAAACAATAGGATCCAGATTATTGGATTCCTCAAAATTTTTGTTTAAACTTCTATTGGTATCTTCAGGGTGTGTATCAAAATCTGCAATTATGTCCAATCCCTCTTGTATGTGCATGCAACACATAAAGACATTTTACAGGATCTATAAGCTCTGCACGTTTCATATGTGCTTGTTAAGTGGGGGTGAAAGAGGACGCAGCAAGCCAGGCAGTGTGTAACAACAGCTCTTTTTATTAGAGTGAGAATCCAGCGGCTGACCTGGGGAAACAGCTCCCCTTATATACCTTGCAGCTGTGGCGGTCAGCCAATCAGCTGATGGCTACTTTATTCAAACTTCCCGCCAAAACCTCTATACATAACAGTGCTTATGTTATCAATATACATTCAAAAGGTTTGTGATTGTGTTGTGAAAGTGTGATGCTGCCTTCATTTTTTGGCCTCCCTTTGATTCTCCCATATAGAAGGAAGGAAATTTGGTAATAGTTTCCTTTTAATGAGGCAAAATATCATACTAGTTTTTTAGTTATGTGAAATTACATGGGAACCCCCCCCTCTCCACAAGCAAGTGGTTAATTGAAACCTAAGGATAAAATTGGTGATAGAATCAAGTTGAAGGATCATATTTTAGATTAATCATCTGCCTTGATCTTCAAAGGCTCATTTCCCAGTGTCAATTTAATACAGAATGATATATGATGTTCTACAATTATGATACCAGGGCATGAAATAATAGGAAGGGTACCTTTAAAAAATAAAGAGAACAAAGTATTTTTAAAAGACCAGACATAACAAAGAAAAAAAAAAAAGGCATGTCTTCATGTTGCTTGCTTGGCATTCCTCCTTCCCCCCTTCTCTGTTGATAACGCTATTTATTGAAATGTTATCAGTACCCGGAAATACAATTAGGCAGGTTATATGCTTCCTGAATGCCTCTTGGCTGCAGCTATTTTGACTCTCCGGTTTCCCAATTTTTCTCTCTCCCTCAGCTTACTAAGAAGAGGGTTTAAAAAAAAAAAAAAAAGACAGTTGCTTCTTATGAAAAGCTACATGAGCATAATAAATTAAGATGTCTGAAGCCAAACAAAGAGACCAACTTGAACTCTGACACAGCAGCTTGTGAAACATAAGGCAAATTTAAAATGACCAAGGGTCAATATGGTATGCATAGTAAAATAGAGACAGGGTCAAATATGACTTTAATGATGTTTGCTGAATGACTTTAAGGCTTAGGGGGTTGTTTTGAGTACTGTGTAAAAAATAAATTATAGCAAAACTAGATTTTCACATTACACTACATAGTGCCTTGTTTGGTCAAGCTTTATTCTATCATAAATTATGGTTTACAAGCCACAGTAATTGAGTTTACGTGAAACCAAATAAATAGACAGTGAATGTTGTCTACACTCCTTAGAGCTAGGCTGAGATAAAAATGAACCAATCCCATTGCCAATGGGAAATTCTCATTATTCTATTAGATTCCTTGGTTATGTTTGCAATACAGTGAACTACAAATGCTAACGTATGGATAAAACTTTATCTGCAGTTATATTAAGATGCAGTTTATTGTGTGAGACCAGAAAATTGGATTGAGTAAACTGTAATTCAAATTAATCACCATGTTGGTTTACATCCATTCCTAAGTTTCCAGTTGCAGATTTTGAGAAAACCATTACAACTCTTGTGGTTCAGCATGACTCCATAGCCAACCCAATTGGTAGGGTTATTCCAAAGGCTAGAAATAAATAATGTGTAGAAACAAGCTCTGCTTCAAAGTATAGTTCTGAAAAATGATGCAATCACAAGGATGGGATAGTTGTTTAAATAAGGAAATGATCATAATTCTAATCCAGGCAGTGATCTCAGAAATAGTGGCTTTCTGCATTAGCTAAATAAAGAAAAGGTCTAATAGTGAAAGGGCCATAATGTTATTGAAATATCTAAATACAACTTTTGTGAGTTCAGAGAATTACAATATTTAAAAGCAACAACTGAAGCAAACTGAATTTAACACCATAATATTTAGCCATAATACTATATTTATCAAAAATTAAACTATTGTAGTTATAATTTCAGATGAAAAAGTATAATATGTCTTTTGAGGAATTCCAAAAGGCTGTCTAGAAACTAGGAGACTGTGAGTTCTAATTCTGCCTTAGGCATGAAAGCTGGCTGGGTGACTTTGGGCTAGTTGCTGAGAGAGAGAAAGAGAGAGAAAGAGAGGGAGGGGGAGAGAGAGAGAGAGAGAGAGAGACAGACAGACAGACACAGACACAGAGACAGAGAGACAGACACATTGTATTACTAACTAGGGCATATAAAACCTTTGCCAGATCAATTCTTGAATACTGCTCATCCTTGAAGCCTGGAATCCACACTGTATATCGGACATTATCATGATTGAGCGGGTCCAGAGGTATTTCACAAGAAGAGTACTCCACTCCTCTACTCACAATAGAATCCCTTATGCCATCAGACTTGAAATTCTGGGCTTAGACAATCTGGAACTGCGCTGCCTGCATTCCGATCTAAGCATAGTACACAAAATTGTCTGCTACAATGTCTTACCTGTCAACGACTTCTTCAGCTTCAACCACAATAATACACGGGCAAACAATTGATACAAACTCAAGGTAAACCGGTCCAAACTCGACTGCAGGAAATATGATTTCAGCAACAGAGTGGTCAATGCCTGGAATGCTCTACCCAACTCTGTTGTTATAGCCTCAAACCCTCACAGCTTCAACTTCAAACTGTCTACCGTGGACCTCACCCCATTCCTAAGAGGTCCATGCATAAGCGCACCAGTGTGTCTTACTGTCCCCATTTATCTGTACTTACCTTTGTTTATGTTTATAACTATACCTGCTATCTTGTACCTGTTTGACAAACATAAGTAAGATAGATAGATAGATAGATAGATAGATAGATAGATAGATAGATGATAGATAGATAGATACCTTAACCCTAAATATTTTCATTGTGCTCTCCTATGTTCTCTAGGAGCTGAGGTCCAAAACAGAGCATCTAATTTACAGAAAATGTCAGAAATCAAAGCATGTTAACTTAACAAATATGCTCTGTAACATTATATATTGATGGTCTTACATTTAGATACCTAACGTCAAGTAGGGCATTGAAGTTTTTATATAGTTATAAACCAGACTTCTGGAGAACCAGAGCACCTACTGAAGATCTCTTTTTTTCCTAACTAGAAAGCCAAACTGCTGCATTTCATCTACTGGCCTAATCTAATAACAATTCAAGTATGGAAGCTACATTGGTACAACAGGCAACATGCCAACACATAGGCTTATGACAATCTTTGTTGCCTTATCTCAAAGTGCTACTTATTTCTACGATTTCCAAGTGTTCAATAGGTGGTAACAACCTTTTAAGGAGACAGAAGCTAAGCAAAGTTAGGCCTTAATTCTTGGATGCAAGATTTCCTTGGAAATCTAGCAATGGAGGCTAAACTAGAAATCAAAAGATGTACTGGAAGAAGGCGGTGGTAAACTACTTTTGCATTATAGGTAAGACTTCA